ACAGGAAATGTGAGAAGGAGAGAAAGAGAAAAACAGATAGTGACACTACAGAAGGAGAGAAAGACAGTAAGTGAAAAAGGAAGAGAAGAGGGGGAGAGTCTGCTTGAATGGGACCTTCAAAAATCAATGTGAGTTCTGCTGGTAATAAACATGGGCTGAGATGTAATAACTCTGCCTCCTGTGTGTGGTGCGGTGATGGTTTGTTATGTCCTTCATGCCCTTGACCTGCTGGGTGACGTCAGCATGCCGTTCCCCCAGCCTCCTGTCCACATCACTTACAGATGATGAGCAGCAGTTCAATACTCAGCCTGAGGGGGCATTGTAACAGAACACTCTCTGCTCTGCTATCCACACTGGTGGCCATGCAAAATATAGAAAATGGATGTGTTCCAGTCTTCTTTTGTGCACCTAGAGCTAATATAACAAAACAAGGCTAAGTATGAAGAACTGAGCCAGCTGTTCTGGGCAACTTTGCAAAGGCAGAAAGAGTAATTGGTCTACATGGCATGTAAATAACCTCATATAAAGTCAATGTCATCAGTAAGATGAAGCGCCATTGCTAATTAATTTATGGAAACGCCACACTTCTCCACACAGGCTCAGCTACACTTCCTTCACAACTTATACTGTCATTTCCTCGGGAATGGAGAACTAAATAAGTCTGAACTAAGTCTAAATGTTACTAAATATTCTGATTAGTATATAAAGGTGATATTAGTGTAGTATACTTTAATATACTTTAGCATAAAGTATATGAAAATTTTGTTTGGAGTCTTCACTGTAGATGCTTTGCAGATGCTCACTTTGTCTTTACTAACATTAAACTAAATATTGATTAAACAACTAAAAGTTAAAGGGGAATACCACTGACTTCTCTAAATTTCTGCAAAATTCCATGGTTATGATGTAAACAAAATCATTCGAAGTTGTTTGATCTAAAATGCTTCATTGTAGAGAAACTTACAGACTTAGATTTCTTTAGATTGATGGTTATAAGAACCAGGGATTGCGATGTCTACAATGCAAACACAGCCATTTTATTTACTATCTATTTATTTACTAAAAGGAACAGTGAATCTACCTGTCTTCTTGGTTTTAAATGTAGTAATGATAATGATAAAATAGTGGAAAATCTGGAAAAAAAAATCTTTTCTCTCCTGACTACTGTGCCTACAACACCCTGCATGTACCTCTTCACTGTGAATGTGTTTAAAAATATTTTTGGCCAAAACATTTTATCTCAAAACTACTGTAAAACATTGTCTCAGGCATCAGGCAACTTATTTATCACCATTTTATGTAGTACCTTTCTGTGAAGGAGCTTTTAGAGGCATTAAACTCTTCAGACATCTGGTTTCTATCACCACCACTGTGAACAATTCTCACTCAGAAAGTTTCTCTAGAATAGAGCATTTCACACCAAACCATTCTGAATGACTTTGTTTACTTCACTCTTAATGACTGAAGTTTGCAGAAAGTATAAGCTGAATGTAAAAGATTCTATTAAATCTAATTCTAAACCTAATCTTAAATTCAACTAAAACCCAACTAATCTTAAACCTGACTAGATAGTTTGTTTACAGTTGAAGCATCTGTAGATAATCTATATGGGGCTATCAAAACAAACTGTGATCAAATTACCTTCACACAATTTAATTTTCTATTTACCCTAAATATAGTCGGTCAGCCAAAACACGTTTGGTGTGTGAAATTTACTTGTTTAGTTTTGCGCTGGAGCTATGAGGCTAATATAGCTAACAATAAGCTGAGGAAAGTGAACTTGCAGGCTTTTTGTGCATAGGACTGACACAAAAGGCCTGTGATCCAGGTGGTCATTCGGAGAATGTAGGGCAGTCATCCCTTGTATGGGACCAAAACCTGTGTATATGAACAGACAAAAGTCGTTTCTGAGACGAGCTGACTTATGGCCTTTTCTGGGCTCTAAAGGTCAGGAAATGTGGTGTCCCCTGTCTGGAGCACCCAGGCCCCACTGGACTGGAGTCTGAACAGAGGTGTCAGCAGTGATTCACATGACCTCTTCAGATGAGAATCTGGGACTACCGCAGGTCTCCCACCTCAGAGCTGGCCTGCAACTATCAGACTGCTGCTTGCTACTGAGTTGTCAGGGCCTGGGGGCTTTTTTTAAGCCCCAGCAGGGGGACACTGGCCTGTCACATACACTCGATGCACATACAACCTGATTAATCGCGCGCTCTCTACTTTTGTTTATGCTTGCTGTCCACTTCAGACTTCTATACTTGTTTTTTGTTTATTTGTTTGTCTTCAGATCCTCAAACTGTAAGATTTTTATTCTGTCACTAATCTTAAGGCTTAAGAAACTAATGTATAGGTTATGTGATTATGAGCATGAGGAATTTAAGTGTTAAGCCTTTTACCCCTAAAGTTATCATTGTCTTTTTGCTTTGATTTATATTGCATAATTACAAAAGTGAGTAGTGAATGACAGACATATTACTTACATACATATTAAAGCTTAAAAAAAATCCCAATCGTAAGGAGCCGAGGCTTCACTAGGATTTGAGCTCATGATCTCCTGAATATCAGGAAGGTAAACAGATGCGCCACTACAGATGTTTCTGTACTCTGTCTGAGCATAAGGAACTGTTTGACACTGCTCTGAGTAAATGCTTTTACAGCTCTAGGATGGTGCAACTCTCTAACTGCCTCATTATCAAAGGGTTCAGAGTCTGAATCCCAGTGACACCATAGCACTCCATAGTCAGGAGTCTCCATAGTGAGAGCAAGAAGTGCTTTCCCCCCTCCAGCTTAAGAGCCTAGGGGAAGCATGAATCTGCACTGTAAAACGTTTTGCTGACTGCTGGAGCATTTTTTTTGTTACCTGAACAAAAAATTTTAAACATTACTGGACTGGATTAAAATATAAATTTTAATTCGTCCAAAACATTTGCTTAGTCTGTATGCCTTAGTACTAGCAACACATAAAATAGTTATAAAAACGTAAATATCCAAGTTTTGCGATTGAATTTATTTGTGCCTGAACTAAAATTTAATATCACATAGTAAATTAACAAAACATGTCCTACGTTCTGTTATGTAAGTTTACTATCTGATAATATGATGTATTCTATAATTTCACTAAAGATACTATCTGATCTTTAATAAATGATGTATAATTTTACATCAGCCATGTTACTTTTTTAAAGTTAAAACAACATTACTTTTTTTTCTTTCTTTTTAACGGTGTATCAAACATTTTTCAGAACACATGGTTGGAAACTGTCGTTGCTTGCACATATTTAATAAGTGTGACGCTCGTGCATTAAAGCGATGTGTTTGGAAAATCAGAAAAGCAGTTATTCCTCGTGAGTGAGAAAGTCAATGCAGGATGTGTTCAGACTGTCAGCAACAACAGTCCATCCACAACTACCCAGAGGGGGAATAAAAGTGCAGTGCATAAACCCCTCGTGCACATTTAAGAGGTCTACAGAGATGTGGAAATAGCGATCTGGTCAGATTAGTGATCTTTTACCATATTCTACAAGTGGGCTAGTGCATGTGAAGTGTACACCACGAGAACAGTACAGACCTGAATGCCCTCACTGTTCAGAGATTCACAAATCAGATTAATCAAATTCAGATTATGTTTAGTTTTTTTTGGAATAACTCCTTACATTTTTATATATTATTACTGGAATGTTGCTGCTCTTCAGAATCAGCATGTATTGTGTTGACCATCAGAAGTAACTGGGAACCAGTAATTATAAACAGTTATTAACATTAAATGATCATGTCTGGCTGCCTTCAGAATCAGCACAGAGCAAGATTATCTATTCAGTGGGTTGAATGCTTGGGTGGAAATTATGTTTGTAGTAGAAATTTGATGAAAAAATGCTACATGATACAAAATTAAAACGCTTAAAACATTAAAAAAACAATAAAAACACTTTCTGGATTAAACATTGTTACATTTAGAATGAGAGTGGGCAGATCGTCCTAATTCAATTACTATGTTCTGCAGACTTTGTGTTTAGTTTTTGCACCCAGTCGTCCCTGAAGTATACCCGGATTTTTCCTTTCACTGTATGCATGATACATTTTTAATCATTTTAAAATCATCATAAAATTCTCCTCTTGTATTTGCACGTGGTATCGGTTGGTATTTATTGATCGTTCAATCAATATCAATCTGAATTCTGACATAAATTATCCACTTGTTAAAATGAGCTATGAGAATTTTTATAAAATTTAAAAAACATTTTTTTTTTGTTGTAACTGACTTCCAACCTTTCACTTGCCTGATTTTGCAAAAAAAATCTGACTCCTGAAACACTACACTTTCATTTGGATGCTGCAGCACATATGAAAAATTCTGTCATTCAATCGCTGATGTTTCAACATCTTACCGCAGTTCAAGTACAACAATCAAATGCTTTTCAATGCCAGTATGTGCTTATGTTCTCACCTTGCCTTTCAGCGCACACATTGTTCCTAACGAAGTTCGGACAGCACAGTTATGCATCTGCGAAGGCCAACCTTTCATTAGAGAGAGATGGTCTACATAATTCACGCAAAAGATTAGGTTTATGTGCTGAATGGAGCTGCACAACGGTGAACACATGAGGCACAACAAGCATTTATTGATTGGACATTTTCGGTAAATATCTCTGAGACTTGGCCATGTTATTTCTCAATAGGCCTTTCTTTCCTGGTGTCTGCGCTATGTCATGCTGAATAAAGGCTGAATTACACATCTCTTAGCCTTCTGAGCATTCAGACGTATATTTATGGCTTTCTCAGCACGAAGGCTATTTCTCAGCTTGAACGAATCACTGCAGGTGAAGCTGAAATGTTTTTTTTCTTGTTCCTGACAGCAGAAGTTCTCAGAACTAAAACATTTTCCCAGCAAGATTAATCACATACAAGTGGTCACGGGTGAATATTCACTAATTCAAACACTGCTATACAATGGGGTCATGCCAGACTAACAACAGTGTCACTGTTGGGAGACGATTATTTACCTTCTTGTAAAGGCTGCGCAGATCCCTGTACTGCCACATGCTGCTGAGGACCTGAGATGCTGCTTTCACCACCTTTGGTGAATGTCTGAAAGGCAGAGAGAAGAATAACTTTTAGAAAACAGGTCTGGTACTGACATCTGAAGTCAAGTGTGAAACCTTTATAATACTCTATATACACAGATCAGCCATACGATTAAAACCACCACCCATTGTCCATTTTATCAGCTCCACTTACTATATAGGTGCACTTTGTAGTTCTACAGTTACAGACTGTAGTCCATCTGTTTCTCTGCATACTTTGTTAGCCCCCTTTCATCCTGTTCTTCAGTGGTCAGGACCCCTATGGACCCTCACAGAGCAGGTATTATTCGGGTGGTGGATCATTCTCAGCACTGCAGTGACACTGACGTGGTGGTGGTGTGTTAGTGTGTGTTGTGCTGGTCTGAGTGGATCAGACACAGCAGTGCTGCTGGAGTTTTTAAACACCTTAGTTTCATTGCTGGACTGAGAATAGTCCACCAACCAAAAATATCCAGCAAACAGTGTCCTGTGACCACTGATGAAGGACTGAAAGATAACCAACTGTGCAACAACAGACAAGCTACTGTTTCTGACTTTACATCTACATGCAAGGTAGGTATGCTTAATAGAGTGGACAGTGAGTGGACACAGTGTTTAAAAACTCCAGCAGCACTGCTGTGTCTGATCCACTCAGACTAGCATGACACACACTAACACACCACCAGCACGTCAGTGTTACTGCAGTGCTAAGAATGATCCACCACCCAAATAATTAGTGGTGGTCCTGTGGGGGTCCTGACCGTTGAAGAACAGGGTGACAAAGCATGCAGAGAAACAGATGGTCTACAGTCTGTTATTGTAGAACTACATTGTGCTCCTATATGGTGAGTGGAGCTGGTTAAAATAGACGATGAGTGTAGAAACAAAGACGTGGTTTTGGATGTTATCAGTGTACACACATGACCAGATACATCAATAAAATAATTCCATCAAGTCATTCAGTCTGAAGTACTGAGGTTCTAGAGAAACTTGTGGTGGCGACAGGAACCAGACGTCTGAGGAGTTTAGCACCTCTAAAAGCTCCGTCACTGAAAGTTCTTTAATGAAATAGTTATGAATTCGCTGCCTGATGCCTGAGACGTTATCTTGCGTTAGTTTTCAGAGAAAGGCAAAACAGCACCCAAAGATTTTTTTTCCTCAGGTTTAGCATTTTACCATTATCAACATCACATATAAACCCAGAAGACACATGTACAGGGTGTCCCAAAAAAATTTACATCATTTCGTAGTCTAATAACAAACAATTCTCTCTTAAATGATCTCAAATTTCAACAAAATGTGTAAAAACTAACCAAGTTTAATTTTTTTTTTCAGGTTGAAGAACCTGAAGAAGGCGTTCACTAGAAACAAAAAGGCATATGTGTGTTATAAAATCTACATCCCTCTGAATTTCTTGTTTGAATTTTGATAAATAAATCTTGTATTGTTCAACATGAAGCCTATTTAATTTCGTTTGCCTAGGACATGTAGCTGTTAGCTATAAGATACTCACATCTCAAATGATGTCAATTTTTTTTGGGACACCCTGTATTTTCACTGGTGATTCTGGATAGATTTTTTTGTACTTGCATTTTAGACATTATAATCTCTGGTTCATATCACCACCACTGTATAGAAAACAGAGTCAGTGAGTTTCTTTACAATTAACCATTATATGAACACTCTAAATTGCATCTCAACAACTGAATTATCAGTGGAATTCCCCTTTAAATTCTGTATTAAAGTATATTATCGCCAACAGAATAAATTATGCCAAGATCAGAAAACATTTTAAACAAATCAAAACTATCTTCTGTTTCTGTTTCTTCATTGATGCAGCTTTACAGGCTCTTGCTTTTCTTACAAGCAACTTCATCAGGAGCCCCCTGAGATGCATTTTCATCAGGACTGAAAAAAACTCCACATATGCTGCGTCCTTGTTGGCTTCTGAACACTACAGTTTGTTTTAGAAATGAACATACATAACAATGTACATTCATAATAAACAATACATGGGCATCAACTTCACTATTTATATATTTTCAGAAACATATTTTACACAAATTGTCTAAGATTATAAACTGTGCAGTTCCTTTTTTAATTTGGCAGCCAAGTTCAGTAGACATTTTTAAGAAACATGAAACCATATCTTTTTAATTTAGCTTTCATTTCCATTTCCACATGCAAATCATTTTTTTCCATTATATTTATTCTCATAGTAAAAAGACACACTTGTGGGTTAAATAAATTTGTGTTTATTAAACATATTTCTAATGTAACTCATTTTATCTTTACATTTTATTTTTTGTTCATTTTTTTATTATTTTGTATTTTCTTGTTTTATTTGTGTTTTTATCTGTATTTATCGTTAAAGCACTTTTAGCTACTAAGAATATGATGTATTCTCTTAAGTATCATTGAACATAAATTTAATCGTGTGTTCAAACTACCGACTGGTCCTGTGAAACGCTCTTAAACAATATAATACAAAGTTGTGAAGAGACTAAATGAAAAAATGTGCCACATGATTTTAGTGTTTGAAAAGACAGTTCTACACATGACTGCTTTGCCTCTTCTGTAGTGAACAGAAAGAAATCTCATTATTGATGTGAATTAAACCCATTCAAAGCAAATGTAGAACAATATACAACAGTGACATTACAAGCTGGTGATATATTAAAGAGAAAAAATCTGAATTTACATTCTTCACATACTTTCAATCTCAGTAAGTCATAACAGTGGGTAGTGAAAATGCTCTCTCTCATCATTCCCAGATAAATGTTCCTCTGTATGCATTTGTGATGTTATGAAAATGTTTGCTTTGCATTCACTGAATACGATTCAGACAAACAGCAACCTTTTATTAGGACCAACAATGGGCCACAAACAAAAGAAGCAATCTCCCGCCTTTCGCTGATGACATGAATTGTGTGAGTTCAGCTAATGTGAGGGAGCATCTGTGTCTTTGTGTGAACCACAGTGAAGCTAATCCATTTCAATTTGGAAAAAACAGCAGCAGCAGAATCAATTTCAAGTTTGTAATGAGCGCAAAAGGTTCCCATCTCTTATCACCTCTGTCCACCCCTAAAAAAAGACGCAGTGGGACATTTATACTTTTAAATATAAGAAGATATAGAACAACTACTTCAGGTTACCTTTCAATGGTTCCTTTCAACTGAAATCACTCACCAAAAGGTTTTTTAGGTGCTCCAAAGAACTCTTTTTGGTGTGTTTATATTTAAGGGTTTACAGAAGGTTTATTATAGTAAATGTAGATATGAGCAATGTTAATGTGGCACCGGTACCAATAATGTATCTGCATCAGTGCCGATATTAGCATTTAAATGCAGTAGCAGTATCGATGAAGGGGAAACCAATACCTATGACTGACACCTCGAAGTAATTTCTAAGGTGCTGACTTGTGCAAGTGCACCAGTAGTCTAACATGTCGGCACTGTGGGTTGACAAGCAGCAGTAAAAATGTTCATGGCAAAATATGTAACTCCAGTATTTCGTGGGAAAAACACACTAATGGGAGCCCCTTACCTGAATGGCTGAGCCAGGCTTCTTTCAGTGGTCACTCATCTGCCACTGTGTAGTCGTTTACAGTCTGAGTTAAAGTTAGTCCAGGTTCTTATTGAAGGAGCAGAAGGAACCGCCGGACTCTCAGCATAATAATAGCCTTTAGTTGTGATTTAGTCTTTAGCATAGCAGCCTGCTAGCTGGGCAGGTGTATCCACTAGCCCTACCTGCAGTGCACCTCCTCAGCTGTTTCATTAAGCAGCGGGGTCTCGCGGCCCTATACTTAAACCCAGCCAGAAAAAACACTGAAGGTTGCTGCTACTGACCCCGTGAACAATGGTTATATTTACTAAACTCCGGCAGTCTGACGCTCAGAGAGGTGAGCACGAGTGAATGAGTATGTTTTAGTTGTGACACAGAACATAGATTTTACCAAAATAAAATACTTAAAAAATGTAATTGTATAAATATTAGGACTTACAGGTCAGTTAGGTTAGACAGAGTCAGTATCAGTACTGGGACTCTGTATCAGCATATATTTAAGGAGTAGGCATCCGAAGTGGTATCGGTGCATCTCTAGGCGATAAGATATCAGCACAATAAATTATGTGAGCATACTGTGTCATCAGTACTTGCACAACACTGATCAACTGCATATTTCATGAGAAAAATAGCTCTAGCAGAGCCTCTCAAGTGGCATAGCTCTCACAGGTTTCTGCAGAGATATATGAATCAAGAGAGCATAATTAGTTCTGCTTAATTGGATGTAACATTGAAAAACATGGATCCTTTTAAAAGCAATTTTTATGAAAGCAATTTATGCTTGGCACTACTGGTTCATTGCCTATTAAAATTTTCCAAACCTCAGAAACACAAAATATCATCATAAATATTGTACCATGAAAATCTTACGTTATCATGAAGAACTACACTTTTCAAAAACATGAAGGATGGTGTAGAAGTGGAGTCTTTCTGTGTCAAACCTGAAATACTCAGGGGATGATAATGACTTTGTTCAGTTTAGCTAGTCTAGTCTACTGTATTAGCATAGCGCTAATTTATCATTGCAAAACTCAACAGAAGGAAACAAAGGATTTAACTCGAACCAATTGGGTAGAATGGCCTTATAACCATTCCCTTTTTTAAAGACCCCTAAAGGAACCCTTTTCTAAAGAATGTACTCCAACATCCAAATGATTAAATGGGGTTGATGCTTTTGGCGCACCGCCCAGTCATCTGTTCTCAGTCATGCTGGTGAAGAAAAAGAACATGCACCTGTTCCTCAGATAACCTCACAGCAACATGGCTGAGCGATAAGAGGGAGATGTAAAGCAGCTGTGTGCCAGCGTCACTTTATGACAGGCATGCTAACGGGCTCGGCCGCGTGCATCACGGCCCACGTGAACGACAGAGCTGACTTATCATTCACTGTCATGTTAGCTAAGCAGGCATCTCCACAGCGGTTTATCAAAGGGACCAGAGTAAGAAACTTCTCAGCACAGAAAGCCTTGATATCTACGGGTGCCTCAACGTGAGTGGACCAAAATTTTATGAAATGCGAGTATGCTTGGAATATGTCGTTGAAAGCAGATGTATTCTCGTTTCATCTTTTCTCCTTATTCCACTTCAGGGAGCTTTCACAGAGCTATGCTCTGCTGAGTGCAATCCGCTCCCTGGTGTATCGAGGCAGAAGGCACAACTCTCCCATGTGGCCACTTTGAAGCATTTGTATTTGAAGCTAACAAAGCTCAATGCTAAAAGATGCCAGAATGCAAGATATACTGTAGAAGTAAAAGGCAAATACGGCTGAGTTCACTGTCCAAATCTTACAGTCATAGTCTGAACTACAGCTGGGTGGGAGTTTGAAGGGTTGTCCTTCAAGGGGCATTCTGGCCTTATCTGTTGTGTTATGCAGTGTTCTCTAGCACAGCATCGTATCCTTCAGCCTCATCGATTTGACAGAATTCATGATTTCACAATGTTTCATCATACAACCACTGGGAATCCCCGTGGTGTCAAACAGTGTATGCTGTCATAAAGATATATTTCAGTTTTTAAAATTTGGACAGCCAAAATGGTCAGAAGTTGCAGAAACACCTTTGTACTTCTGTCCATTTTTACTGACAGCAGTATGTCATACAGTGCCAGAAACATAAGCATGTTTATTTGAGGTTACTTAACAACTTGGCCCTGTTTAAAGTGATCGCTTAGGGATGTAGTTTGCAAAGTGCTAACAGAGTATAAGCTTCTCTTACTTAGCTATGTTAGCCTTGAAGCCCAAGTGCAAATCCAAAGAAGCAAACTTGAGACACCAAACACGTCCTTGTTGATTGACTATATTTGAGATGAGGGATAATTGAGCAAATGAGATTCACTCGGCCTGTGAGATGATTAAAATGACCTGTAGAAGCAAGAACCTTAAGGACTCTTGTAGATACACGTTCTCTCTCCGACTCTCGCCCTCCCGGTCTCCTCCTCACACATGTACAATACAGCAGATAACCTTGCTGACAGGAACTCACTTATCTCCTTTGCTCCTGGCGATACCGATGAGCTTCTCGATCCCGCCGGCATCTCGCAGGGCCTTGGCATTCTCCATGTTCTTGGTGATGACCTCGTGCAGGGCGCAGCAGATAGCAGTCACCGTGTCATCTGACATGGTTTTGCTCGCGGTGCTGTTGGCAGTACCACCACTGCTGCTAGCGTTGTTGCCACCCGGCAGGCGATGGACCAAATCCCGCATTGCATACTTTCCTACGAATTTGGAGAAGAAAAAATGTGAGATATGAAAACAGAACTTGAGCTGTACCAGAGTACAAGTGCAACAAGCAAAACATACTTACAGTAGTAAAAAAATCTCTTATATCTCCTTGAAATGTTAACTCAGAGGTGTCAAACTCGGTTCCTTCCAGGCCACAGTTCTGCAGAGTGTAGCGGTCTGCCTCATTCAGTTTCTCATTCTGCCTTGATTGAACTCATCAGCTAATTAGCAAAGGCTTTCATGAGACCTTGAAGTGTTAGAAGAGGGAAAACGCTGATCTCCACATAGCTGTGGCAAGAAAGGAACCCAGTTTGACAACTCAGTGAATTTGTTAACATGTTCCTGTAGGACAGTGTTCAATAGGCTACAGAACACCTACATAAGCCCTTCTTGACAACTGACACAGACTTACATAAACACACGTCTTTCATCATAAAGACTGCATTTGCCAGGTGACATTGATTTTTTTCTGTTTGTAAGCTGTTATGACAATTCCTAGGGTGAAATGACAGACTTCGTAGCTCAGTTTATGTCACAGTGACACAATGCTGATACGACACAGCTTGCCAAGACAGACTGGCTGAACAAAAGTTAGCGTTACTGTACCATTTATAAGATATAAGCTATGTCACATCATCAGCATTATGTCACTGTGATATAACAACTGATGTAGCATGTGCTGTCAGTTCACTAAAAAACTGACAGAACCCAGTATCAGAAAAAAAATGATGTCAACTGACAGATGTTCTTGACATAAAAAAACAACCTTTATAAATATTATATAGTTTTGGCAGTTGTCACGACAACTTGCATAGTTGATCATGTAGCCATGTAGCCTAAAATTTATAGAAGGAAAGCATGATCTTTACTTAATGAGTAACTTCAAAACCTCTAGTTTAACTTTGAAAAATGCTAAAAATTGTGAGAGACACTTTGGACCATTTAGGAGGGAAAGAGGGGGGCACTACACCACAAAAAGGAAACAGATATGTAATGCATCACTGTCTCTGTCGCCTTAATTTAACCGTGACCCAAACATAGTCTGGTAACATGATTACAATAATTCCAATGAAACACGTTTTTTTACAAAATGCTACAAAAGATGTAAACCTTTCTTATAGTCTCAGCACCACAAACACAAACAGAACATTACACTGAAAACCCCAGCTAGCAAAAATTAGCATTGTTACAGTAGTGGTCATTTCTTGTATAAACAGTCACAAAAAGGTGAAAAAACATGTAACCATGCCTCAGTATTTTTCCAGACCGTTTGTGTGATTTTCTGTGGCAGTTTCTCAACTAAGGTGGGAACCTTGATTAAATTACGATCCTGTGTTCTCATATTACAAACTCATTTGTTTAGGGCAGTTTCAAAAGAAGTGTTAAAACTTTCAAAAGTCTGATGTCATTTATAATTACAAAGGAGTATATTTCAGTTTTCAAAGAAAAAATATCAGCGTCATGGTGTAATGATTCTTTAACATCTGCTGGAACTGAAACTTGAATGCTTTGGTTTTTTCTAAATTTTTTTAAAAATTCTATTGTCCATTTGTACCATGAGGTGTGTCCCACTTTGGACTGGTACACGTAGACTATGTTCTCTGGAGTGATGGAGCTTTATAACGTTGAGATGAGTTGGAGTGCCATTTGAGATCCAGAACAAAGCATCCAACATCAGTACCTGACCTCAATAGAGCTCTTTTAGCTGAATGCAATCAGATCCTCACAGCAACGTTCCAACATTTAGTGTAAAACATTCTCAGAGGAGTAGTGGCTGTTACTGCAGCCAAAGAGGACAAACTTCGATTAATGCCTGTAATTTCAAGAGAAACGCTGGATGAGGCGTCTACAAACTTTTGGACATATAGTGTATAGATACCAATTTGTATTCTGTATGCTTGGAATCAAGTGTATAACATTACAGAAGACAGAAGTTTTGTGAAAAATAAAGTATTTTAGTACACGTAAGACAGGGCATGTGCTCTACTGTGAAGAGGTACTTGATCATTAGCTGCTATTCTAAACATAATGCACCCAGTATGCTGGGCTTTAAGAGAGTAACCTTCTGTAGAGAGCGGATAAGCTTCAGGAGTGTCAGGCTCAGTGTTTTGGGATGATGTTTGGAGGAGCATTGTGCTGAATGCAATAAAATGACTCGCATGGTATTTGAGAAAAGAACATGTTGTGAGAAGAAAGCAAGCAGAATCTGACATTTAAGGAACAGAGGAGGAAGTGTAATTAAAAATGACTTGGTGAGAGACAGACCTGATAAAGTAGTTAATACCCCCAGTGTTGAGCTAGGATATGATTTTCATTACAGTCAAACTTGTATTAAAACACTTTCATTAGAACTTCACAAATCTGGCCCTTAAAAACACTGCAGCATAATAACAATAACGGGTAATGGGTTACTTGCAGGCTACCAACATAGGGACTTTCTGAATATTTATGAATATTGCGTCAGTATTCGCAAGACGACATAAGATCTTTTATGCAGTAAAGCTATGACAGTCATGAGGGGGGCATTAGAATCCTCCATAGACCTCATGGGATTCTTAAATAGGCTTCTGCCTTTTAAATCCAGTTACAGGGGAATGATGCTTCATATCAGTGCTATAAATGGAACAAATGTCTGTCATTTTAGTTTAAGGCCCCTTCAGTTAAGTTAATGCAATGTCATTTACTTCAAAAACATCTGATGACTTGTGAATACCGACATAAGATGTTTGTGCTCAAGTATTTTTAAATACACTGTTCAATGCTTATAGACGCATTATGAAGTCCATATGTAGGCAGCCAAAGAAAGTGTTATCCAACAATGTTTAAATATCTGTGCCAATATTAGTGCCATTAAGAAAGTCCACTTAGCATAAGAGAAAGATAGGACAACGTACCACACATTCACTGGCCACTTTATTAGAAACACCTACATCATAGCTCCATTTTGCTGGCGCTCAGACTCTAGCCCATCTGTTGATGCCCAATTTATAGTTGTCATCTTCTAGACTTTCAGTTTCTGACCACAGAGCAGCTCTTGGCTGGATATTTTCGGGTGATAAGGAACTGTTAAGCAGAGTGTAAAAACCCCAGCAACCACACTGTGCCTGATATAGTTGTACCAGCACTGCACACACTACCATGTCAGTGTTACTGGACCTGTGGTCAGAAACTGACCAGTGATGAATAAGGTAGAGGATGGCTGACAAACAGTGCAGAAACAAATGCACTGCAGTGTGTAAATATACACCCATAAAGTGGACCTATACTGTATGTAAAGTGCTAGAAAGATAGGGGTTTCTAATAAAGTGGACAGTGTGTATATTTGCTCTACTGTCTGTACAGATCAGCATATTGTCACAATCCAGAGAAAATATCTCCAAAACAGCAACTTCACAAGAGAAGGCAAAATCGTTCTTAATTTTTAATACAAGTTAATGCAACAAGATTTTATTCCAAGCAATTTTGGAGCATTTCTATTGGTCCATGCGCTATAAAATTTTCACAGAATGTAAAACACAGCCGCCACGTCAAATTATATTGACAAAAAAGTATTTTGTGGACAGTGGCGATATAATTCAATATTCAGTCAAACATATGGGCAACTGATATAACTGCCTTTATCCTGCTCCCACCCATAATCCCCCTTCGTAAGCTCATGACACAACTGCAAACTAAGGGCGTTTAGAATTGTGTAGTGTACAAAAATAAAAAAAAAGTCTTCAATTAGGGTGCTGCAAAAGGCATACTTTTGTATAAATAAATAAAATTGAATATACAATTTTCAGTTCATCCATATAAATTCATTTTAGTTTCTTTTCACCTCAAAGTGTAAAAATGTCGGGTGGTGCAACCGTCCAACCATGTATGTCGATTTAGTAATATAACTATCAAAAAAGGTAATTTAGTTTTGTAAAATTCTAAATAAAATAGTTTGGCATGATTTTATGTTGAAAACTTTAAACAAAAAAACCATGTTGCAAAATAAGACAACTCACTGAACTTCCACAATAACTTTTATTTTGACATGCTTTTATGAAAGATGGGCCAGGTTACTGCATCATAAAGAAGACCCTAAGAGACTTTTGACATATTTTGGAAAAAGTCATTTTGATTCATGGTTAGAACGGTTCAGTTTTCCATGTTTGGTGGTTTGACCTCTGGAGAGCCAAGAACATGTGTAATTATTATAATAATGTTTATTTATTTTGAAAAAAAGTATAAATATAAGTGAGTTATATGAGTATAAACTCAGCTTTAAGGACAAAGGTTTCTACGGGTGTCTAAGCAGATGCCTGTTTAATTTGAAATTAGTCTGAAAAGTCAGGTGGCACAACTAGATAGATCAAAGACCAGTACAGTTTTAATAAGAGAAATAGGCAATTAAAGCTTTGATAACAATAAATATATTGAAAGAATTTATTGTGAAATGTGCTGTGTTGTGTATGTATGTGCAGAATTTGTATTTTAGCTGCCTATTTTTGTGTTTCTCCTTATATGGTCATGTTGTCACACCTGTTACTTGTCCTGTATAAGCTGGGTCTAATCTTGGCATCAGTCCAGCTATAAAACTGTGACAGCCCAGTGTCTTACGGGCTGGCTGGGTGTCTGAAACTTGCGCACACAACCAATAACCTTCACTTTGTCCAGACAACAGATCGAGTCTCCAGGGTTTGGATTCTATTAATATTTACACTGCATTATAACACTATATATAAAATGCACAAATATAAATCCAAATAAATATGCTGATATAAAAATGCACATCACGTCTTTAATTTTTCTCTCTGAAAAGCACTTTATGAAGATGTGTTAAACATGTGCTATATTTCTTTATTATTACTATAATTAAGAAATGTTTGTGGTGCTTTTTAATCATCCTGACATTCATATACTGACCACTGAGACTTACTGGCCTCTGTTCTTCTGTCCACCTCATATTGAAGGGCACAGCTAATGAAATTAATCTAAGATGGTTACATACTCACTCCTAATT